CTGGAGAATAGAGTTCAAATCCCCATTCAGCTATGAAAACCCACTGAGTAATTGTGAAGAAGTCACACTCTCTCAGCCTCAGGCAAAGGCCATCTCCCCTATGAAAGAATATTGCCAAGAGAAACTCCACAATAGGTTTGTCTTGTGTTCACCGTAAGTTGGAAACTGCTTGAAGACATACAACAAAAACAAGAGGATGAGAACTTGGAACTAATTATATAGATTGTGTGTACATAATAAACAAGTTTTTTTACATATACTCACTAAAGTTAGACTTACTTGCAAAATCTAGGAAACTGATTATTTATGCATATTTTTCCTGTATCATTTTTCTTGGAATAAATATTCCACAAAGCCTCATAGACTGTACTGGAACTGGTGGAGTGTGATTTCCAGTCATTTGTGGTAGAGGCTATGGTTTGCAATTCATTCTGTGAATGTCTCTCTAATAACCCAGGAATGGCTCAACTGGAGGGGTTTGCATAGCTTACAAGATTGGCATTAAGAGATGTAACTATGGCAATGTAGCAATGTGAAACATATACATCTCCTAATGCATGATGCTGGCTAGATATATATATACACACATCTCTATTTCTGTATCTGTATATGAGATTCTGATCTGTGTATGTCTGTATACAAGCTTGTATGTGTGTTATGTTACTATTTTCTAATGGTTGATTTAAAGTGAGTATTCTGTGACAACGGAGAACTAGCCTGATTGATGGGACAACAGGATTGGAAATGGCAACCTGCTGACAGAAAAGACAGTCTTTATTGGTCAGCTGGATTTGACTTTCCTGGCTGTGTGTTGTATGGAAGCATTTTTCATGCAAAAGTTATATAACATCATTATCTCTGCCATTGCTTTGTTCAGTAATCATTCTCGGTAATAAAAAAAACATGTGTTTTCCTTTAGAAAGTATGTGCTTTAGAACAAGAATAGGCAACATGCTACTCATAGCAACATATGACCCATGGCCATTGCAACATGTTTGTTTTAAAATAAAGCACTGGGTAAAGATGTCGATTTCCTTTTTATGCTGGCAGTCCAAAATTTTTTCGTTGTTGCCTTCATCTAGTAAACAATTTATTCTGTTCAGTTACTTAACAGTTCAACTCTTTGACCTGCTTTTCTAGCAGGAAACAATGAAAGCAGGAGTGGTAGAGGAAAGGCAGTCACCACCATGGCAGCATATTGTCAAAATGTGATATGACTCATGCTGTTAACTGACCATGGAATGTGGTTTAACCCAGTGCCCTGATTTTTCCCCTAGTCCTTTCATTGGTGTGTGTCTTCAAGTCATTTGTGATGTATTGTGTCCTTAAAGCAAACTGTCACACAGATTTGCTGGCAAGATTTGTTCAGAGAGTTCTGCTTTTGCCTTTTTCTGAACTTAAAAAGTCATCCAGTGCTCACTTTGTCTTCAGAGGAGCCCCTGGTGGCACAGTGGGTTACAGCGGTGAGCTGCTGAACTTGCTGACCAAATGATTGGTGGCTCAAATCTGGGGAGCGGGGTGAGCTCCCACTGTTAGCCCCAGCTTCTGAAAACCTAGCAGTTTGAAAACATGCAAATGTGAGTAGATCAATAGGTACTGTTCCGGTGGGGAAGGTAACGGCGCTCCATGCAGCCATGCTAGCCACATGACCTTGGAGGCGTCTACGGACAATGCCGGCTCTTTGGCTTAGAAATGGAGATGAGCACCAACCCCCAGAGATGGACATGACTGGACTTAATGTCAGGGAAAACCTTTACCTTTACCTTTTTCTCTTTAGACATTTCTATATGCTCTATGTGTTTCCAATTGTTGTTAAAGTATTGGTGAGTATTAGACAGGTAGTGTTGGTATTTAATGTTGTGCAGCATGCAAATTCTATTCAACGTCCCAAGCCCAAATGCAAAAGACTCACAGACAAGAGGAAAAATGAACAGAAAAATCTTTACTCTTAACAGTAGAGATGGAACATAAACTTGCAATGTTGCATACAAAAAACAAACAGTGCAAGAAACGTACATAGTCCTTGTAAGTAACACAAAATAAGGCATCTTCATCTTAATTCAAATGCGAGAGCAAAACATAAACCTTGAATAAACGGCTATCCCACCATACCCTCCTCTAGAGCAGCATAACAGCTTCTCTCCAAACTGCTCCCCAGAGCAGGGCCTTTGAGCATAGATCTCCTCAGAGAGAAAAAACTCTTGACCACCCCAACTTTATTAAAAAAAAATCTCATACAGTTATACCCCATCGAGTGTGGTCTAAACTTGCTGGTTGACCTACATTACCAGCTGCATATAATAATTCTCATCATAAGGTTTTTCTTCAACACACACACACTTGGTCCTGCTACAACTTACTGTAACATTTAGCTCTATGAGTGATTTTTAACAGAAGTTATTTCTTCTCTCTGAGATTTTAAGGATACTTCGTTTGTTGATTTGGTGCATTGATTTTACTTTAATATTTGTTTGCTTTTTTGTTAAAATCTTTGGGATGCCTTGTGTGGGCCACATAGTGAATGTAATTTTTTTTTTAAGATTGATAAATATAAAAAAAGTCCTAGTTTTTGTGCAATCAGAATTTGAATCTCCAGCTTATTATGAAAAGATATGTAGTCATAGAATGTATGTGTGTGTGTATTCTGAAGTAAATAATATACAGCTAAGCTTCCAAGTAAAAGGTTAAGTATCATAGCATTCTGGCAATGGATATGTAAGTGTCAGTTCCCCAAGGCTTAAAAATTTATGATACAAGTAACAGGCCATGTGAATGGCTGAGAGAATTGTGTGTGGGAATTATCAGTCAATGTCTGTAATGAAGCCTGAGCAATTGACAGTCTGTATATGAACTTGGCAAGATCTGTGCACCCTTTAATTCAATAAAAACTTCATTCTTTTGACATCTTCTCACAGTGTTCTAGCCATTTTGCTTCGTCTTTTCATCCATCAGTTTCTTCTCCAGTAAGAACTAAATAAGGATGCTACTGTTGGGGCACTGAACGCAGCAAGTCCTGCATTTTTGTATAAAAGAGCAGATTAAGAAAGACTTCTTGTCTGTGCTCTTCAAAAAGAAGCATATTCACAAATAATTTCTTTCATTGCTTGTAGTGGAACTTCATAACACTACAGTCTGTTGTAAATGTGTGAGTTTGTGGGTTCTCCAATGAAGTCTGTGAACCTTTGCCCAGGACTTCCAGGTTCCTTCAAGTAGAGAAAATAAAACAAAATTCCCCAGTTTTGAGAGTTTTTAAGCTCCGGAATACACCCACATAGTTTATGGACCACCAGGTATGGAGGCCCAGCAAGAGCTAAATAGGCACAACCCCATTGAGAGTTTGTCTTCCTTAGAATATGAAGAAGATTTATAGCGGCTGAGTCCTCCTCAAAAGACAAAGAAAGGCTTATAACATCCAAGACTTCTCCTCCTTCAGAAGAAGAAGAGTTATGGTAGCCAGGCTCTCCTCTAGCAATTGTGCCTGATGAACAGCTGAGTCCTCCAGTTTAGCAAGAAAGGGGAGTTGGCAGAGAAAACTTCAAGCCCTTGTGAAAGAAGATGACTTTGATATGTGGCACAGACACTCCAACACAGGAAAAGACTAGCTGCCCACAGCTGTGAGATATGTTCTTTAAATACCATCAGGCACCTGAGCACTTTGACATACACCAAAGTTGTCTTCTCTTTCGAAGGGTTAGAAGAAGAACAATAAAAATTGAACCTATTTAAAGCAAAAACAAAAAAATCCCAGAAAGCATTTGGAAGATGCTTTCAGATGGTCTCTAGAAAATTCAAAATGTTTTTGTGTATATATGCAAGGCATGCCTGACCTGGTTGTTTCATTTTACCTATGCATCATGCTAGCTTTAAATAAAATGTTTGCTCAAACAGGTCAAACTGTTGTTCCCTTTTGTGATATAGAATCTATCCCCATTCTTTCCATGTTATTTCTGTCTCTAGGACCAAAAAAATATGTTATAGAAATAAAGCCCAGGAACACATTTATTTCATAATCTGAGGTATACTTGTAATAATTTTTATGCAGGGGTTGCTGCAGGGTAAAAAAAAGTTGAGAAATGCTAGTATAAACAATAAAAATGTTCTAATGGCATGTGATGGGAATTCCTTCTGAAGACATCTGTATAGGATTGCATTATAAGGCCCGTTGCTATCACTTTTAGTATTTCAGCTATGAGAGCTCATGATTGCACCTTTTCCTAATAAAAACTGGGATTTTTAGGAATTCGATACAGATGTGCCAGATATTTTGAAGATGTATGCATATATGTGTCTTAACATTGCCTGTTGACTTATGAACATGATTAATTCCACAGGGCTTTCTTAGGCAAGGAATTATCAGAAGTGGTTTGTCCAGTTCTTTCCTTTGAAATATAGTCCACAGCAGCAAAATGCAAAAATGAGAGGGTGAAAGTAGTAGATAAGGTCTTAAGAAATTCAAGGAACTTCTTTGTCATTCAAAACTAACCAAAATGTCAGTAAATTAAAAAGGTGTTTGCATTGCATGGTTCTTAAAAGATAGCATTTTTGGAATCATTAGGTGGGCCATTCCATTATGTTCCTTTTTGGTAAACATCTCATCTGAAAAATGAACTTGGCTTGGGGTGTTAGAAATTTGTTCAACAGGAAGCACTGGAGGAGCCCATGGACTACTTTTATTGCATCATATAAATGCAACTAAGTACAAAAAAAACCCCATTTGGATCACCAAAAGAACATTTAAGACATGCAGACTTTATTACTGAACAGAATTCCTTGGGGCTGAAAGATTAACTTCATTTGTCTCCTTGACAAGCAGTTGATTTGTAAATATCCTATCCCCCCCCCCCCTTTGCTGAAAGGCTAAAAATGTCCAAATAATTATGTGCAATGGGCTGTTCTCAAAACACTGGCTGTACTGCTAAACGTGACTCCTGATGCATTTAGTAATGATTTGACTCTAAGCAATTGTCTCTCTCCTCTCTGTCTGGCTTTTGTGTTTGCAGTGAAGAGAGCTACAATGTCACAGACTATTCCTTAAGGGATCAGCTGTTAGTTGAACAGTGTGACAGTGAAGAGCTGCATTCCTCTCCTGTAAAAAACAGCACACCTATTCTTTACTCTCGGCAGAGTTCTCCAAATCACCTCTTCAGATTAAATGTCCTAAGTAACCATGCAGGAGAGAAGATTGAACTGCTGCTGGGAACTGAAACTCAGTAAGTAAATAACACATTTTTTCTCAATTTGCCTGTTGCATTCAAGCTTCTGAAGCTCTATTCATCTTTTCATCTATTCATTGGGCTGGACTAGACTGCATAGTTTCCAGAATCTGCTGGTTTTTTTTCCAGCGAATGTAAAACAATGAAATGGGCCTGACTATTCAGTGACCCAAGTAACAAATGTCATAGCAACAAACAAACTCTTTCTTTCGCATAAGGCACTCAAATGTTGGGAGACAGTTTCCTTCCTGGAACAACATATACAAATATGGCAGAGGCTTTACATCAAGCAGACAAGTGTGTAATGCTATGTCCACACTGTTCTGTGTCCTCTACCACTTCATCATCTCTCAAGCCTCCCAAGGAACCATCTCTGCCTCTGCTTGCTCCCAAGGAACCACCTCTGCCTCTGCTTCCAAATTGCTTTTCATCTCAAGTCAAACTATTCAGTGGTTAGTGAGACCAATTATTATTTTTTCATATCTATTTTTAGTCACTTAGGGTTGCATTTTTTGGGGCCAGACAAAATGAAACATCTGGAATCCATGTTATGGAACTGTTTACATAGACTAGTACCCAACTATCAGGGAGGCCAAGAAAATGGAGATAAATGCACATGGTTGGGATTTGTTTTTCTTTTACTTTGTGGTCTTGTTCCACATCCTCTCTATATGTGAGGTATATGCATGGTTTATAGCAGTATCAAAAAGGGGTAGCAGAAGAGAGGAGTCTCCCATTGGATTACATTTCTTGTAAAAGTTAATAAATCCAAGACTTCTAAAAATTCTAGACTTTTAACACTTTATATACTAGTTAGTTAAATATAGATTTAAGCTTATAAAGTGATAATAGAAAACTTAAGACAGGTTTTTCAGTAGGTCACATTCACATTAAACAAGTGGAATTCACAGGGACCATGCTTTATGTATTGAGCTTGATTTTAATAAGTTTACTCTAATCGTGAACAATTTCATATGTGCATTAGAAATGTATTTCTAATTCTTTGAAAAAAAAGAGAAAAAATGCTTTCATGGACTCCAGTCCACTTCATCAGATTGATCAATGAACTGGAATCTATAAACGTTTATGCTGCAAATGTTTTGAAGGCTCTGCAGAATTCCTGTATGCCTTTTGTACGCTGAAGTGGAGTAACACAGCTATGGCTTTTCGTATATTGATGTTAATCATGTGGTTTGAAGCTATGTAGCAGTAGAGTTCTAAGATTAGTTTGGTGAATCTAATATGTAGAACATAGATATGCTGTAATCTTTGAAGCTGCTGTTACCTGGGAGAAGATAGCTGTGTTATGAAGCATGCATTGGTCATGCATATAAAATAAGGAGTTTGTGTACCTGCTGTTCAAGAATGCTCCCCTCCCTAGACTACACAACGGAAGGAGAGAGAATAGAGATTGAGAAGCAAGGTGGTTGCGATCAGAGCTTATAAAAATGTAGCTCATGGAAGAGAAACTATCTTTCTTTGCCACTTTGTGGATGACAGGGAAAAAAAGCCTGGTTTCTGTCAAGAAACTGGTACATATATAAACATGTGGTGTATATGTCTTGTAAATATGTTCAAAAATTTTGGGAAAATGTATTTCAAGAAATAAGAAGAATCACCCAAACAGAAATAACAGGAACACCGGCGATAGCACTGCTGTCATTTATTGATAATGTTAAAATACCAAAAGAATTAAAAGAATTAATTGCCAGTCTGGTAACAGCAGCAAGATAGTCAATAGCTAAAAAATGGAAAGAAGGAGGGGAGTGCCAATTGGAAGAGTGGTATAGGGAGATCTGGGACATTGCAATAAACGATAAACTGACAGGAAACATAACAGTTAAAAGAGGATTATAAAAAAAGATGATTTGGGGAAGATTTTGGGAAAATTGATAGAATTTGTATACTGTAATAGAAACAACTGATTTTTGAAAATAAGTATTGTAATTGGCTGGCCTGGGGTGAAGGGTCAGCACTGGGGAATTGGACAATATGTAATGAAGCGGGAGGATGAAATACTATAGGCATTAAGACATATATGACTTTTTAAAAAAAGTTTTTTAAAAGCCTGGGGGTTTTTTTTGTCCCATTGGAATTTACTAGGACTTGGCAGCTTCAGTGAATTGCTGTCAGGAAAACCACTGCAGTTCTCTTCCATTGAAAACCTGAGAAGAATGAGGAGATTTTCATACACTTGGCATTTACAAAAGGCACCAGCTGCAATATGCTAGTGGCATTTGCTTCAAAATCCCAAAACAAAAGCAAATACCCACCTTTTCTTTAGTTATCTCAACATGTCACAGATCCTATGGGAAAAGATGACTTGATAGTGCCCCTGACTGATTGACTGGTTGATTGATTATATGTCCCACCTTTCTCCCAGCAGTGTGTTTAATCATTCAGAGCAAAATGTGTGGACCCCTAAGTTTTTTTACTTTATAGATTTGTACCTGTAAAATATCTCTGTTAGTAAAGGATAAAAAGGGGTTGTTTGCTAATCTGATCACTTCAAAGTGGCAGGTGGTTTCATAATAAGTAAGGAAGAATATTAGCTTCTAACTAGGACTGGAACAAAATCTAATTATTATATTAAGACTGGAAAGGAAGTGAGAATGAGTTGTTGTTCTGTCAATGTTTAACGTTAGATACTATACGTTTGTGAGGGGGAAATGTCAGAAAATACCTTGTTTGACAGCATAGCCAACATATGGATTTGTTGCTGACTACTTTGAAAGTGCTTTTCATGACTTCAAGATCTCACAATCCAGTTTTTAGGTAGAGATAGCAGAGTGTTAGTTAAACATGTCTGAAAAATCTCCGATTGAGCATGGTATCAAACAACTCACATAGTTATGTTTTGGCACAGATCTGATGCATCTTTTTCTTTCACACCTCCCCCCCCCCATGGCAACATGCATGCCCTTAAAATAATTTTTAAAATAACATGCATAGTTCCAAAAGGAATAGCACAAAACATAAATGTGTTAAGACATCATAGAAGCAATTGGATTATGTCTGTTGTTATACAAGAACAAATAATATCCTTTCCACTGTTTATACTACTTTTGAAATGTAACTCATGCTCTCACAATAAACAAACATTATTTTGGGTAATAATTGTGCATTCATAACATTGAAAAAGAATATTGTAGTATGGTGTTTAGCAGATTGATACATCGAGGATATTCTGTGGGAATGTAGATTCTGAATGCTCTAAAATTGACAAGTACTGGATGCTGTTCAAAATGAAGCATAAAAAAAATCTAGTTCAGAAGATGGAAAATAGTCTGAAGAATTGTAAATGAGTATTTTCCAAGGATACAGGGAGGAGAACTTGAGTGCTGTGAAAATGATACGGCTTGAGCACACGAAACCTGTCTCTGTGTCGAATAAGGGTTATTCCATCTAACTCCTCTCATAAGTTATATATATGAACTTGTCCCACCCTTACTGAAGATATTTCTGCTCTGTCCATGAGTGATTCTGTAAGAGAAGGCAAAGGAAAGTGCTGTTGGCACTTGTGAGAGGGATAGTGAATGTCCTGCAGGTTCGGTTCCCTGAATAGCTCTTCCAAAGTTTGCACATCGAAGCAATCTTTTAGAAACCATGGAAATAGTTTTGAGTAGTAGGTATCTTTTATATACGAACACTGCAATATGATCTACAGAGAGCAGCATTGATTGTATCTTGTTACTTGTTGTTCTTTTTATTACTTGTATGCATTACCTGTTTAGTGAACACAAGCTTTTAAAATAAATTGGAATGAAGCCAAGAATGGATTCAGTGGCCCAGTGACGTAGAAGCATCACCTGTTACTGGAAAATATCATACCCTTTGGATGAAAATGTCAAAATCATAACACATACAGGTCATTGCTGTAGGAAATATAGAAATGAAAGCAAAATAATAACACAAACATTAATAAAACAGCAAAATGAAGAAAATGTGACTATCAGGAAAAAAATGACAAATTGAACTCATAAAAAGCCTCCATTGGCATGCCAACAGTAATATGTTATGTTTTTGCCATGGATTAATGCCAATTGCGTGGCACTCTAGTCGCTGCAATCCTTGCTTTCATTCCCCTTGCCTATGTTGGCTAGGACTGCTGGGAGTTGTATGATTATTTATTGACAGATGGCCATCCAGCCTCTGCTTAAAAGCCTCCAAAGAAGGGGCCTCCACCACTTATTCATATATTCCATCATTACATATATTAACTTATTCGGTGTGTCTGTTGTATTTGATTAAATAATTATATCCCTCCTTCTATCTAAAGCTATCAAGATAGTGTACAATAAAATCAATCAATTTAAACAAAGTAAATTATTTCAAAGGTCCCATTAGTTAGACCTTGTAAATTGATAATTGGCCCATGTTTTAGTCCTCCTCCCCACACAGCCCATATTTGACAGCCTATTGGTAGATTGAAGGGCCAGAAAATGATCAATAAACCATCCATAATCATCCACTCTTGATCTACTGTAGTTACTTTGCTTGATGGAAGATTGTTATATGAAGCCTTGTGGTGGAAAATTATATAACTCCTTGTAGGTATTCTTCATGATGCTCAACACAGACTCATTTTAAGCAAAAATATTCACTACTTCCATGAGAAAATCGCAAATAAAATATAAGATTGTATTGTCTCTGTTCTGGGACTATCTGGTGAACAGGAGATTTACTGTTTACTAAGCAATTTACTTATACAGTTCTTCTTTCAATGAAGCCTTGGGAATTTTCTAGTATATTTCAGTGTAGGACAGGAGACTGTGAAGTTCTGAGTGGGTAGGATCAGCTGTCAAGCTGGACCAGTGTCAGGGAGTGTTTCAAGAACAAGTGTTTTGTTATCACTGGTTCAGATTCCAGTGAGAGAAAAAGGGATGCCTTTAGCATGCAAGTAGTTTTCTATAAACCTCAAAAGATGTTGTGTTTCCATGGAAATGGAGGGCTAAAGGGGGCTATCTATAGCTCATAAGTATCACCCCCATACACAT